CCACTCTTGAGGCAGACGCCCTGGAACTAGTGAAGAAGTGTGCAAGTGTCAAAGATTTGACAAGCTCATCCACCGTCCGGGCACTGATCTGACGGTCATTCATAGCCCAATACCATTCGCCAAATGGGGCATGGACATTCTGGTACCGTATACTCCTGCGCCAGGCGGACGGCGGTATATTCTGGTTGTTGTTGACTACTTCACCAAGTTGGTAGAGGCGGAGGCGGTCAAAGCATCAAGACAAAGGATGTCATTTCTTTCATCTGGAAAAACATCATCACCCGATTCGGGGTACCTATGTCTATGGTCTTTGACAATGGCCCCCAATTTGAGACGCCTGCCCCTAAGAACTGGCTGGGAGACCAAGGGATATCTCACTGATTTGCCTCAGTCGGCTGGCCCCAAGCAAACGACCAGGTTGAAGCTTTCAACAAGCTAATCTCTTATGGTATAAAAAAGAAAATTGAAAGGGATGGGGGTCTATGGGAAAAAGAGTTAACTCATGTCTTATGGGCCATCAAAATAACAGCAAAAAGGGCAACCGGCGAAACCCCATTCCTCATGGTATACGGTGTTGAAGCCGTCTTAACCATCGAACATTATGAGCCGACTCTTCGAGTCATGTTGTATGATGAAGAGGCAAACTGGGAGGGCATGAGGCTAGCATTGGACTCACTCCTAGAACACAGGGGCAACGCTGTCTTACGTCATGAGATTAATCGTCTGAGAATGACAAGAGACTACAACAAGAGAGTACACAAACGGCCCCTGAAAGTTGGGGACTTTGTGTTACGAAAAATGAAGGCAATCGGTAGGGCCAATGAGCAAGGCAAGTTGACACCCAATTGGGAAGGTCCCTACCGGATCTATGAAGAAGTATAAGGAGGCACCTACCGCTTGGAAACTCCAGACATTAGGAAACTAGCCAGAACTTAGAATGTAGACAACTTCAAAAAGTACTACTTCTGAGACTTGTAATTATTATTTTTTTTTGTGTAAATGAAAAGCCTATTAATAAAAAATTGCTTTTTATTTTCAAATTTGATTATTTTTACTATATTAGATCTGTCTCCCAATGGGAACACCGCCTGTGCAATGTGCAGGCGAAATCTAAATCAATCGTCTGCTCCTACAAGAGTACGAAATCCGACGACGCCCATTCGGGTGAATTCGTCGCAGAGAGCATCTCTCATTTGGGTGGTACATTGCTCTATAAACTTAAACACAAACGGCCCAATTGACTATCTCAATAAGGGTTAGCTCATAGCCGTTTGACCTAAATAATCTAAATAAAACCTAAATGACGTAATTACCCGCATGCCTTATAGACACTAGCCGGTATCCGAACGTCATTTCAGCTTAGATTCAAATTTTACAATAATTGTACAAATTACCAGTCCTCCCAATGGGGAAAAAGGACGCTTGAGTATATTATTCCAACTAGACAGATGACCCAAACGGTGAAGGAGGTTTTCCTTGTTCAATGGACTAGGCAATTCCAAGAACCGTCTGGGTATCCAAATTTATATTTCCTGAACTTAACATACTCTTTATAGTATCAAAAGTTGACGATACTTGGTTTGGGGCAATCACAGCAGTGATTGATTAACCAAGGAACTTAACATACTCTTTAAAGTATCAAAAGCTCCTAAGTCAATCAATCCACCTTTTGAAACCAACCACACAGCCGCCGAGAGGCATGAGGCCATCCGGTTTGTTAGTTGTCGCATGCAATTAACTAATTAGGCAAAATCAAAGCATATACAGCACATCCGGCCATCTGGGGGATAAATCTGCAGCATAAGATAGATTTGGTGAGAAAGCAGCATAGGCGCCACCAATAGATTGCCGGCTGCTTGAAGAACCTTCTGACTGATATTGAGAGTGTGACTTGAATCGTATGGGCCAAGGAAGGGCAAAAGCAGTGTTGAAGGGGTCATCCATACCTTGGGATGTTGGCTAAAAGCTCAGATCGCCTACAGCCGCTGCAGAACCGTTGCAGCTTTGGGTGGCTCGCCACCCTTTGGCACCTTAGAGGCACCCGGCTTGTTTACAAGGTCAAACCCAAGACCATAATTTTTAATACTCTTCCCAGCAACGGTCAAATGGTCCTTTCCAAGCGGGAGATCAGGAACCGACTAAGTGGAAGACACCTTTCTGGACTTGGCTAAGCTCTTGACCTCATCCTCAAGCTTCTACTTGAATAGCTTTGAAAGAGATCTGGGAGGCCCCTTGTCTCCATCCTGGACAAAGAAATTCGTGTTAAAGGCACAGTCGGTCAAAACCGTCTCTATATTAAAAGAGGCAAAGTGAAGAAAGGCTATGGCAGACGGAACATACCTGAGCCTTGGTCACCAGCTGGGCCTTCTTTTTCTCTGCATTATCTTTTCTGATTTGAGCTACAGAGCGGGCAAGCGTTTTTTCCTTTAGAATCATGCTTCTGCCGGTTTCTGAAAAAAGAACCGTCTGTTAGATTACCAAGCAAATTAAGAAAATTGCAAAGGCATAGAAACAATAAAGGCGGCATGAGAATGTCGGATGTCTACATACGTCTATCAAACATGGTGCTTAGACCGCAGGCGGACAAGAACGCCTCGTCTCTCAGCCACACATGCTTCGGTACCCAGTACTTGTGTACACTTATTAGTTCACCGGTTGACAAGGTCGTGGTAGTTAGACCAAAGAAATTCGATGCTATTATTGCATCATATTCCACATCCGGGATCCGGGGCAAGGCACACTTCTGACCCAGCAAATCCGGTTTCTTATTATAATGACGATACTCGAAGTTTTCTCGCCGTTTGGGAGAAGAGACAAGATAAAGTTTGTTCTTCCAATCGGACCACTTAGACGGTTTGTCTAGGGTCATGAGATATTCGGGGTAGGTGGTCAATGTGTACCACCCCCGCCAGCCGCCTGGGTTGCGACTCAAGTAATGCATCTTAGCAAAAGCCTCCCAGCCGGGATGGAGGTTCTGCATCTCGCAGGCGGTGATATAGCCCAAATGTTGACCCGGGAGTTTAGGGTCAACTGTCATACGCTTAAGCCATACCCTCTAAGGATGGCCTTAATTGCGTCATGGAGGGGGAAGCGGAGACCGGCTAAGAATGCCGCCTCATAACAGCCAAAGTATTCATTGGCATTTGGCTGATTATCCTCCCATGCAATGATGCCTAGTTCAGGCGGCACCCGAATGTCATAGCCCTCACCAAGAGGACGTTTCATTTTAAAATCCTCCAACCCTTTCTTCATGTTTGCCCTATCTCTGGAAGACACATGGATCTGAAACGGGTCATTCTTATCAGACCACTTTTTACGCTCTTCTTCCTCACTATCCTCAAGCGGTGATAGTGAGCCACTGCTACTCTCTTCAGAGTCTAACCCAGACTCTCCACTACCTCTCTCAGAGCCAGACATAGAGCCGACTTCTTCGTCGTCTCCCTCATCTCTCTCAGAGCCAGACACGGAGCCGGCTTCTTTGTCGTCTCCCTCTTTGCCGTCTCCCTATTCTGACTCCTCCAAGATTCCATCACTGGGAGTGCTAGGAGCACCCGGGGGAGACTCTACTTCCTCAGCCGTTTCTACCTCATTAGGCGGCACACCGCCTGTGCTTTTCTCTCTATAGTCCGGATCAGGTGTCGTCCACATTGTCCGAGCCATAGTGTCCTACACATACACAGAGACGATTGGATTCAGGGAAGAACGAGGGTGGTCCAAACACCCAGAGATGGCACCCCCAATCCTAAACTAAGACGTACCAGGAGAACGGCTGACTACTGTCCTAGGCCGTGTCGTGCGTACGTGCTGATGGTGAATCCATTTATTGAATGCAATACACACAAACGGTAAAAAAGTATTTAAGAGCTGATAAGGGGAGAGACGGTACCTCAAAAATGTCTTTCTGGAGTGAAGGGTGTCAAGCGCTGATCGGCTGTAGCAGGCGGGCAGAAAATCACGCAACTGTCTAGGAGATACACAGGCGGTTATCAGACTTTCTCTCTCTAAGAAGTTTTGACTCTCTTTCTCTAGACTTTTGTGGGGAACGTCAAAAATGAAGGGAGGGGGTAAACATTATTTATAGAGGGGGGTTAATTCCAGGGGCATTCCCGTAATTTCCCCAAAAGGTAAATAGTTTTTTACTGTTCGCCAATGAAAGCTCGACACGTGTCACATGATTTGGGTAAAAACCCCACGCCACGTGGCCCAATAAGAAGCTGACACATGGACAATAAGAGGTTGACACATGGCGGTCTAGGAGAGGTCCAAACAGGACCAACCACCAGCTGACGCGTGTCCTTCCTAATTAGAAGGGAAAAAGGCGGCCTTCAAGGCCCAATTACCGAGAAAGCCGCAAAGCGGCGCAACCCACCAATCTAGGTCAAAATGACCTAAGGCACATTTACCAATGACCCTATAAATAGGGAGATTTACCCCATTTTGGGGACACGTTCATTATTAAAACACAAATAATTCTCTTACATCAGAGAAATAAAAACACCTGATCATCATCTACTTTTACTTTTCGCACTTTTTACCCTACTTCGACCGGTTCTAACTTGATCGTAAGAGGCGGAACTCCTACCAACAAGAGCTTCCGTTGTTTTGCAGGTACATCCGGCAGGGAATCCAGTCTTGGTGACATAACTCTCCCGTAGGACACAAAAATCTCAAACAAAATATAGTTTTATTATCACTATAATTAAAAAATAATTCACAATTTAGTTATTAAAAAATAAAAGAATAACAAATAAAAATAAATTTCAAAAATAAGAAAAAACATTATAATTAATTTTGATATAAAAATCATTCAATAAAATATTAATATTATGATAGTCATTTTAAGGATGACTACTATAGAATTTTCAATATGTATGGCATTCAAAGCTTTTCTTTTCATTTTTTTAAAACCTAACATTTCAAAGTTTTTCTATAATATACTTTTTATTTAATGCTTGTTCATATTATAAATATATTCAATTATTCATTAATTACTCATGCAGATTCAAGAATTAGAAGACCAAATGGATTCGTATGCAAAGTCAGAACAAACAAAAGCAAGCCAGTCAATTGAAGAAAATAATACAAGTAATAATAACAAACCAGCATCATAAAATCTACTTCGTATATTGTTATTTTTAATCCGATTTAATGTTATTTGATGTTTTGTACTAGTTATATAAGTACCATTTATAAAGCTTACGCGAAGCGTTGCTTCTTGTCTATGTGGTTGTGTAATACTCAAGTGTACGTAACATAAATTTAATTAAGAAAGAATCATTGACATACTGCAGTACGTAGTTCGTAGTACTTCTCTAATATATAAGTGATGGGACTGTTTATGGCTTGTAAATTGTGTTTCCTTTTTTCATAAATTTTATCTTAAGTTTACATTTGTGCATTGAAGAACAATAGAACAACACAAACGGTTAAGCCAAAACTTACATGCATCTTTAGCTATATCATTTCAATACGTACTCTATCATCAATAAACGAAGAAAGGAATCCTTTTGATTAACTCCACACCTTTAAAATTTAATCATATAAAAGTCAATGAAAAATGTAGATGCAAAAATAGATCGAGAATTATATTGCACCAGTTCAAGTACAAACATTTAATTATATTGCACCAGGATGTTTTGCACCGGTGCCAAAAGAAATGGGCGGGATTGGAAAAGAGTTGGCACCAGTTCCAACCAAAACCGGTGCCAAATCATTTAATTAGCACCGGTTCAAACCGGTGCCAACTTTAAAAAAAAATAAATAAATAAAAACAAAAGAATGCAATAGAGTTGGCACCGGTTCGCCTTAAACCGGTGCCCACTATTGTAATTAGCACCGGTTTAAACCGGTGCCATTTATAAAAAAAAAAAAAAACCCGGTTTATGTCTCTCTTCTTCTTCGCTCCTTCATTCGATTTTCAATTCATTCCCACGTTTTTCCCTCTTCTCTTTGCTTCCACCCCTAAGCTAGATAGGTTTCACTTACTCCATTGAAGTGGTGTTCGAGCTTTCTCACTTTCATTGAAGTAGTTGCCGCCGCACACACCACCTTCTCTTCACTCCATATCCATCAATCCTCCATTGAAGCAGCTTCGAGGTAAGTAACGTACCTAGGTTTCACTTACTCCATTGAATTTCTTACCATTCTTGGGTTTTTTTGAGGATTTGCTTTTCAACTTAATAATTATAAGTTTCTTGTAATCTAGGGTTTGTCAATTAAACGTGCACGGCTCCCCCTCCACAACGATCCTCCCCATACTTGTATATGGTTATGAAATGTAAGTCCTTAGTGTTATATGTATGGAGAAAATTATACTGACTATGTCTAGAAGTTGATGGTGATGTTTTTGTTATTTTTCTGCTAGTTGGGGTTGCTGCTTGGCTGCTGTTTTGATGCTGATTTCCTGTGCTGGGTGGTTTTGTTAGCTGTTGTAGTTGTCAGATGATTGGCCTGTTCCTACCTGCTCGCCTGTTCTGCGGGCAACTATTGCTACCAGCTGCATTGTTTTTGTGATGATGTGATATTGTGATACTGTGATGCTGTGTTGCTGTGATATGTCAAGGAAACTATAAGCCTGCTTAGATATGTTGTTTGTTATAGTTGTTCTTTTTGTGTTTTCCCTTTTGTGGTTGTTGTGGTTTGTTGCCCTAGTCCATGTAAAGAGTACCCACCCTAGAAGGTGCATTTTTACTTGAGTCCAAGTTAGGTTTTGCTCCTTCTTGTTTTATGAACCCGTCCTAGAAGGTGGCCTTTAAACAGTTTGAGGTTGTTTGGGGGTTACAATTTAGCTAATTTTGTAAGTTATAACTGTTATTCTTTGGTGTTGTTGGATTGATCTTTCGAAATTAAAAGATCCTAGCTACTTGTTATTAAATGGGTGAAAATTTGTTCATCTAGACCAAACTTGCCAAATGCCAGTGCGTGGTTGCTTCAATTGCTAGCTTTTGCATAATCTATCCCTATTTTCTCTCTCATTCCTTAATCATATGACCCTATTTTTTCTTATTATCCATTTCTCATACTTACTAACTTATGATTTTTGTTTTGTTTTTTCTTTTTGTGTTTTTATAGATTCATATGTGAATTGAAGTTCAAGTTTAGCTTGAAAACTACATATTTAGCTCAAGTGGGACGTTAGAAAGAATACATCCATTGTATTGGTATGAATTATAAATTTCTCTAAACTATATATATTTCTTTCTCTTTATTGTTTTAATAAAAGTTTTTTCATGCTATTACGACTTGTGTATTATTTAATGACAAATAAATACAACAATATATGAAATGCTTGCATCATCATATGCCTAGATACCCGTTCAAGGCTTTTGTCATTAGGAGAAAGTCTTGAATAGTCCCCGGTTGGGACTGTTCTTGAACGTTTACTCTCACTTAGGTGGTGAATGTATGTCTATTTTTTCGATTTTAAGGAACATCTTGGCTTACCATTTCCTCACCATGTTCTCTGGGTACATATGTGGGTAAGTTATTACCTACATTGTGTACTTAGAGAACTGGGGGAAATGCTGCCGGATTTTCCTTAAAATTGGAAAGTCGACATACATTCACTAGTGAGATTGAACGTTCAAGGATGTGTTAGGTTGGAGTGATAAGAACCCTTTGGAAGCATATATGCATTTTTGTATCTATATGAATGTTATATGCATGGTGTGTGTTTGAATTTGATTTACATATATAATAGATGTAGCAATTATACATTATTCGTAATATGTTTCCATGTTTAGAGACAATTTACTTAATGGAGAAAAATCGTGGCTGGATGTATGGTAGACGTGATACATTGGAATTCTTTGATGGGGTTCAAGAGTTTTACGAGAGGGCTTCATCTTATCAGTGCAGAATGGGTGTCGATTGGCTCTATTGTCCTTGTGTTGATTGTAATAATGTGAATGTGGTCAGTAGTGTTGATATCATTAGAGATCATGTAGTTTGTCGTGGGTTTAGGCTTAAATACCATGTGTGGATTTGGCACGGTGAAAAAGGAGAGTACAGTGGGGATGTTGATGGTAATGATTTGCATGATGATAGAAGCAATGACATTCGTGTGGACGAGGAATACAGGAAATATGAACATATTATTGATAATGGTGATGAGGATGGATTTGAGGATGATCAGGTGGATGAGGTCGAGGATGAAGGGGTGGATGAGATGATGCGTGGTGTTGAAGGTGACGTGTTTGAGTCATTATCGGAGGCTTCTAAAAAGCCTTTGTATCCTGGGTGCAAAAAATACTCCAAACTATCAGCCGTGCTAACAATTTTTAACCTTAAGTCGAAGCATGGGTGGACGGACAGTAGTTTTACTTCTTTGTTGACCGCGTTAAATGAGATGTTGCCCGACGGGAATGAAATTCCTAAGTCTTACTATTACGCAAAGAAGCTCATGTGTCCATTTGGTTCGGAGTATAAGAAGATACATGCATGTCGTAATGTTTGTATTCTTTATCGAAATGAATATGAACAATTGGAGGAATGTCCACGATGCAAGAAGTCGCTCTACAAGCGCATGAGTTGCAATGTTGGTACGAAGGGACCTCCTGCTAAGGTGTTGTGGTATCTTCCCATTATTCCAAGGTTTAAGCGTCTATTCTCAACACCAAAAGACGCTAAAAACTTGAGGTGGCATGCAGAGGGAAGAAAGAAAAACAGAATGCTGAAGCATCCAGCCGACTCCCCGCAATGAAAGAACATTGATATGAACTTTGGGATTTTGGTGAGGAAGTCAGAAATTTAAGGCTTGGTTTGTGCACGGACGGGATGAATCCATTTGGCACTCTTAGTACCCAACACAGCACATGGTCGGTACTTTTAGTGATCTACAATTTGCCTCCTTGGTTGTGCATGAAATGTAAATACGTAATGCTTTCACTTTTGATAACGGGGCCAAGGCAACCTGGAAACGACATATATGTTTATCTTGCGCCACTTGTTGACGATTTGAGAAAGATGTGGGACGAAGGGGTTTTTGTTTTTGATGCTCATAAGAATGAGAAGTTCACATTGCGTGCAGCTCTTATGTAGACCGTTAATGATTTTCCTGCATATGGCAACTTGTCTTGTTACAAGAACAAAGGAAAAAAAGCATGCCCCATTTGTATTGATGACACCCCAAGCATACACCTTGATAATTGTCACAAAGAGGTGTACGTGTGTACTCGAAGGTTGCTCAGGCGTGATCACCCGTATCGTAGGCAGAAAAAGGCTTTCGATGGGAAAACGGAAGAGGGGACTGCGCCTAGGCCATTGACTGGTGAGGAGGTTTATGCTCGAGTTAAGGGTATACAAACCGTATTTGGGAAAACAGAAAAAGCTGCGGACTCAACTGCTCTCTTCAAAAAAGAATCAATCTTTTGGAAGCTTCCGTACTGGAAAGAACATGACGTTAGGCACTGTCTTGATGTGATGCATATAGAGAATAATGTGTGTGATGCTCTCGTGGGAACGCTGATGAATATTCAAGGCAAAACAAAGGACGGAAAGGGTGCACAGTTAGAATTGGAAAAGATGGGGGTTCGTCTAGAATTGTGGGCTCAGAAAAAGGTTAGAAAGGGAAAGGAACAGGACACGGGAAATGAAATGAGTTCGAAAAAAGGAAAGGGGAAGAGCAAGAGAAAGGGAAAGGCCACGGATGACAAGGCTTATTTACCTCCGGCTTGCTACACATTGTCAAGGGTAGAAAAACGGATGTTTTGTGCATGATAAGGTTCCATCAGGGTACGCAACGATCTAACATGAAAAGATTTGTATCCTTGAATGGAGAATTGAAGCTGACAAGTATGAAATCCCATGATTGTCATGTTCTGATGCAAGTGTTCCTACCAATTGCAATACGTTGTATTTTACCAAAGCACGTGAGGGAAGCTAGTACAAGCCTCTGTTCGTTTTTCAATACAATAAGCAGCAAAGTTCTTGATCCTTGTACACTTGATGCTTTACAGGCGGATGTGGTTGTGACTTTGTGCAAATTTGAGATGTACTTCCCACCCTCATTTTTTGACATAATGGTACATTTGATTCTTCATTTGGTGCGTGAGATTAAATTGTGCGGTCCAGTGTTCATGAGGTGGTGCTATCCTTTTGAAAGACACATGGGAACATTGCAAAATAAGGTAAGGAATTGGGCTCACCCGGAAGGAAGTATGATTCAAGGGACTGTGGCTGAGGAGATTGGTTATTTTGTGGCCGACTATATAGCCGTTGCTGAACCTATTGGTATTCCGACTTCTCGACATGAAGGGAGACTTGATGGTCATGGCACAATCGGGTCGAAATGGATGTCAGCTGATCGATATAAGTTCTTACAAGCACACCCATATGTGTTGCATCATGTTGCAGATGTTCACCCATATTTAGACGAGCACATGGCTAGTTTGCGTGATGAATTTCCATCGAAAGGTGAAAGGGCATTGATGCAGTTGCATAATAAGAAGTTTGTGAGTTGTGATCGAGTGATGGGTGGAATGGATGAGAGTGTCACAGATACAGTAAGGTGGCTTGCTTATGGTCCTAGGGATGATGTTCGCTCATTTGAGGGATATGACATAAATGGGTACACATTTTAGACTGAGCGTCAGGATTTGAAATCATCCTCGAACCAAAACAGTGGTGTAACGCTTGTGGCATCGTCAAGGGAGTTTGCAAGTGCTAAGGATAAATCACCCGTTGATGCAGAGTTGTCATACTACGGTCAAATTCAAGAAATATGGGAGCTTGATTATTGTGACTTCACGATTGCTCTTTTCCGGTGTAAGTGGGTTGATAATATCAGGCGTAACGTCAAATATGATGACTTTACTCTTGTAGATCTTGGCAACCTGAATGATAGTGCGGAACCATTCATCCTTGCATCTCAAGCTAAGCAAGTGTTTTATGTAAGTGACCCAGCCTACTCTAAATGGTCTATTGTGCTAGCCGGAAAAAGAAGAATCCTTGGCGTTGGAGATGTCGAGGATGAGGAAGAATATGATGCGTTTGATGACTCGACACCTTTCACTATTCCTAGACCTGTTGTACCAAATGAGATAGACGACCAAGCCAATTACATGCGATCAGACCACAACGAAGGAATATTAGATTGAGGAACTATTTTTTGTTAGTTTGAAATTGTAGGCGTAGAAAGTATTATTAAATCACATTTTAGGTGAAAATGAATGAAATTGTTACCTTACGTGCCCTTTTTCTTATTTTCTTTTAAATGAATAAAGTAACTTACTTGCCCATTTCAATGTTGATTTGTATTATAATTCAGCAATTTATATTTGATTATAACTTTACTTTACAAATTTATATTACAACTAATATCGTGTTATGTTTGTAATGACAGGTTTTTACATCTCATGGCGGACGATCAATACCGTTTTGGAGTCAAGGATGTAGAGGATGATGATGATGATTTATCTGAGGATGGGGACGAGCTGTATGATGTGAACAAGGAGCTTGATTTGGGTGAGGCAGAAGATCAGGCTCAAGATGTTTTGGATCGAATGCTAGATGAGTTTGAAATTTCAGTTGAACAAGCGCCTCCTATCGAAAATGTAATGTGTAAGACGTTTGGTAAAAATCATGTTTCCCACAGTCAAAGCCAGGAACAAAGTGGAGGGGGGGTGAAGGCACTAGCGAAGAAAAAGTTGAGGGGTCCGACGACAAGTTTCAAGAAACCCATCGGTCCAATGGTCCTGGAGTATGACAGCGCAGGCCAACCTACAGGAAAATGGCGTCGTCCGTATGCTGCTCAAGTTGGCATTTGTGCGCGCAAAATCCCCATTACTCTTTGTTGGAGCGAAGTATCTACAGGCTTGATTGACACATTTTGGAATGATACAAGGGCAAGTGTTTTGTTTGCACATTTATAAATTCCTTTCACTTTATTGTTATTTAATGGGGAAACTAATAATGGCTGTTAATTGTGCTTGCAGAGTCTGTTTAATATTCCAAATGAGTACGCCAAGCGAAGGGTGTTTGAATCCTTACTAGCGGGAAGATTCAGAGGCTTCAAGACTACCTTAGTTCGTTGGTTTATCACAAAGAAACTTGTGAGAAAACCAAAGAACACGAAAGGAGGTGGCAATGAT